GCTGCCCCAAAGTCGTCCCGACCCCCCCCACCCCCGCTCCGTTGATCTCCTGCGGCGGAGGTGGAATTTGAACCTGCGCCTCCCCAGCTTCTGCTGAGTTGACCCGCCCCAGTTATATCTGAGCCTCCGATTCTGGCTTTGCACAACACGCTCAAAACACACGGTCAGGACCAGCCACATTCGGTGGTTGTGTAGATACAGCCACTCGGGTTGTAACTGAGCAGGTGGACATAAAAGGGTTGTGTGCGCACAACACACACACACACACACACACAGCCAGCCCATTCTGGCAAAGTTCCCAGCGAGCCAGTTTGGCTTGGCTTCGGTTGTGTGACGGCAACCACTATGATTTGTTCTTTCTGTCTGTCGTTTTGTTTTTCTTTCTTGGCTTCGGTTTTGTGAAGGGAGCCACCATGATTGCAAACCAGGCTAGCTTGCTTGCTTGCTTGCTTGCTTGCTTGCTTATTTATTTATTTATTTATTTATTTATTTGCAGTATTTATTTATTGGCTTCTCTTGTGTGCAGGCAGCCACTATGATTTGTAAACCAGACTTGCTTGCTTGCTTGTACGCACGAATGTATATATGTGTCTATATCTCCTCCCATCTCATACATGACTGGGCGGCTAATAATGACAGTAAAACAAAATAGGAACAAAGTAAAACTCAAGCACTGTTTTAAAACATAAAACAAATAGCATAAGACAGCGTAAAGTAGCAACCAAGAATAATCAAACACCGCGCAACCAATATAACCAGACAGCGGGCTCGCTCACAGTGAACGCCTTGTGCAGCCCTGCTCTTCCTTCCCATCAAGCTTTTCTTTGCTCTTTAAAATAAGACAGGATGCATCTAAAACAGGACAGCTATCACTTTGGTAGTTAACAATCCTGTTTAAAAATGTCTCCAGGCATGCAGCATTAGCACCTTCAGGAAACCTCTGAATTCCTTACCACGTAATTCCCAAACTAAGATGGCTTTGCTTTCTGCCTGTATAAGAAGCAATTCCTGACACTCATCGTGGCCATATGCTGTCTGCACACTAAATGTCAGAACTTGCACACTTCCAGAGAGAAGTAGGTCCCCTTGCCAGTTACTTGCTGTATTGGGATCTTTGCCAAGAAAATGGAAAAGGGTTTGTCTGCCTTCCTAGAGAGTCATAGTTTTTGCTGGATAAAAATAGTAGCCTTTCCTTGACAAGGAAGGTTATAAAGCTAACCAGGTCCTGTACTTTTCTGTTGGCACATTTCTTGCCATTCTATTTTTGGAAGTACAGTATTGTCATAGAACACCAGTACCGCAGGAACTGCGTTGCTGTTGGTATGCTCTGGGTGCAGTTCAAGAGGTTGGGTATCACCTATAAAGCCCTCCATGGGTTGGAGCCTGGGTATCTTTGAGACCACCTGTCCTGAATAGAATCTGGGGGGCCCTCCCCTTGTGCGCAAGCATGGTGTGCCTGTTGAAGGTTTCCTAAACTCTCCTATTGAAATACTCAATGGGAGGGGTGCAAAAGTGGGCATTCTGGGGGAGCTCAAAAGGTAGTTTGGATGAACTGCACCATCTGCCTATGGTTAAAGCTGAAATTTGGCCCTTAATGTTACAAACACGGCTAAACAGCTTGGGATGTTGCACACACACACGCGCGCGCACACATGCCGCTCCCATATCTGGATTGAGGCAACTGCGACTTAGTCTTTAAAATCCAAATGGTGGTGTCTAGTTTGGACCCAATACAGGTGAGTCATGAATACTGATTGCAGATAAAGGCAAAGTCCTTATTCTGCCATAACAACATGTTATACTAAAGTGGAAGGATATTGTTCAGCATGTTTTGGGAATCCAGCCACTGGCTTAACACATTGTGGGAACCAGCCTAAAGCATGGGAACACACCAATTGTCTTTTGTCAACCCAAGTTGAGGGTTTAGTGTATTGAGTGACTGATTTCAGCCAGGGAAAGGAACAGACAGAAATGCTGTAGTCCTTTTTAACTTTTTCTAATGTAGTTCCTGCATCTGCCAGCAGATGTCTTGATTTTTATTTATTTATTTGCAGATGAAAATGTAGGCTGCACCGTTTGCAAAAACTTAGAGCATTAAGGAGCTTGTGTGTGTATGTTACCACGTTTGGGGTACATTATGTGAAGACTCAGTTCCTTTGAGAAATTTATAATGCTGCAAAAGGTGGAAGGAAAGAGAAGAGGACGGGACGGATGGGCTCAGTTACAGTGGTGATGAGTGCACCGTTGGGAGATCTGAAGGACCAGGTCAGGGACAGATCTTCTTAGAGAAAATCAGCATGGTCACTAAGAGTCGATACCAACTGGATGGCACAATCGTTTTCTTTACTCTTTCTCTATTGTTGTCTTTTTCTGTTCTATTTAATTAAAAGCAAATGATATTTGCCTATTAAAGGCTATATAAATATGATAATCACCCCAAAGAATTTCACCACAATTGATTACCTAGTCCATTGATACAGTTTTGCATCCAAGCCTTTCTTAGATAAATAGGTATTAAATATACCCACATGGCCAACAAGGAAGGGCCCGGCTAGACCTTATAGACAAGGATTCCAGCTAGACCTGCTATCAACTGCTTCCACTGAAGCATCAGATATTGAAATAGCTGTCCATCAGGACATCATCTGATGTTTCCCCCGTTTGCTTTTTCACTTAAATAATTTTTTAAGTGAAAAAGCAAAAAGGGTGTAGCCAGGGAAAGTTGCAATCAAGGCATCTCTGAAAAGATAGTTTATTTTCTTCCTACCACCACCCCCAAGCACTCATGCATCAGGTAGCATAGGCAAACCTCCGCCTAAACTGTTGTGCTCCCCAGCTCATCCTGGGAGTTCAAAAGGTGATCTGCTATGCAGTTCCTCCCAGAGTAGAGAGAATGCTAAAAATAGAACCCATGGAGTAAGTTGGCTTGAGTCTGCCTAAAGGTGGAAAGGGGAGAGCTGAGTTTTGTGGGCTGAATCATCTGCTTACGTGCCTTTGGGGGGCAGATTCAGAAACAAAATGCAAGGGGGGTCTGGCAGCGTCTTTGGGATGCTCACGTTCATGGGGAACAGCCTTCCTGAAGCCAGCATCCTCTCAACTCCACTCAGCTCAACTCTGGTGGTTGGGGATGATGGGAGATATGGTCCAGTATAGGGCTGGGAAGGATGGACCACAGCCTCTTAATCAGATGCACAAATCCTAAACTGGCAGAAAGACAGACGTAAGCATGGAAAATTCCAACGTGGGTAAGCCCCAATGTGGCCTGCTCGTTTGTTGCATTGTCTGTTGTGTAAACCTGGCCATTATAGTTATCAAACCAGGGTTTACAACGCAGAGTGCAAGGAAACTCCGCCAGGTGTGCATTCAACACACCTTGACTAAACAAACCGTGAGTTAGTATTGTATGATGCCCCCGTTATGGCTTCACTTATATTGGAACCCTGCCGTACATTTCTTGTCCATGAGAAGCAAAACCACCCAGACTTGCTGGGAGTCGGGTGGCATATAAATGTAATACATTATTATTATTATTAATCCCAAGTCTTCAAAAGTCATTACTGCAATATATCTATTTTTCAGATGTCAGGAGGAGGAAGAGGAGGACCACCTGGCAGGGGGAGCACCAGCGCTGGGTCCCTTTCAGATGTATCGGCCTTGGTGGGTGCCTACCAATACAGCACCTTGATCATTATTCCTCCCATTATAACGGACATAACACTATCAAGATACTGGAACGCTGGTGAGAGCATTAAGGATGCTACGAAGATGTCTGCCTTTTGTTCTCTAATCCGCATTAGCTGCATATACACCCAGATTAGCAAAACACTCATGTGATCTATACCCCAAAGCATAAACCATTTGATGACTTGACTTGACCCAGTTCACACAACCTGCTAAAACAGCAGAGGGGTTCCCCCAACCTGCCTTATCCCATTTTAGCCTGGCTTAGCTCAGCATGCTGTGCAGTCACATCCACGTGTTTATTTTGCTAATAGTATTTACCCTCTCCACATTTCTGGGTGGAAATGCATTTACTATTTCTTTGCCTACCATGTTTGTACCCCACCACAACTGTATGCAGACTGTCAGCAGAAATCCCACCACAACGAGTCACCTAAGTACTCTGCGGGCACCTTGCAAATAATTGAAATGTCCCTCGTGACTTTACCCAAGTGAGGGCGGCATTTCACTATATAAGCTACTGGCTGGTGGCTTTGGAAGCCAACATCACGCAGATGGGAATGCAATAAAATTGGACAGGCCGCCTGAAAAGTCTCTGGCGACAGATTCCGGGTGTCACAAAAGGGTAAGCAGTCAAAAGTTCTCTCTGCATTTTAATTGCTTGGGCGGGGGAATGACGTCTAAGGTTGCCACTGGTTTTCTAACTTGGTTTGAAAGCTTGGCCTGTTGTCTTTGGTTCTGAACTTGGTCAAATGTCCTGGGTCACTCTGTCTTCTTTTCAGAGCCTTGCCTTCCAGAGATGCAGCATGCAAATTTGCCTTTTTACAGTTTACTGTGCTTTGAGAAGCCAGCCATTGTAGATGACGAACAGTGATTTAACAGGTTATAAGACCCTAGCTATTTGCAAGTACTGTAATTCAGTAAGCCACTCCTTAGCAAACCAAGACTTAGCACATTGTATGAAGAGAGTCCCAGATTCTTTACACTGAGTGCCAAACCATGGTGGCGCTACTTCTCCGTATTTGTTTGCCTGCTCCTTTATCATTTTATCTCATCTTATCTTTGCGGTTAGCAGTTTGACATCATTTTTATACTTCCTGAAATTATTTGGCTTTTGAAACATTGCCTTGCATACTGAATATTTAAGACTGGGTGGGTGGGTTTGCAAACCATCCGCCTCCATCAGCAAAACTCTATGCAAGGACCAGCCAACTCCCTTGTGTTTTTCTACACGACCCTCCTAAGGTTTTTTTCCTTCCCATGTTTCCCACCTGAGCACAAATAAATAACTGCAACGAAAATCTTGTTGAAGCCCAAAAAATCCATCTATGAAAGGGGGAAGCAAGATGGTTGGAAATAGGTAAGCGCAGTCCTTTGAAAAGATCTCTGGCTCTTCCAGTGAGTGGAGTAGAAATGGAAAATGTCTAGTGGAATCCAGTTTGCCCTGCAAATAGTGCAGATACAAAGTTCCTTGGAACTGAAAAGGAAAAAAAGTCAGGTGGCTGCACATTGTCATCCATCTCATGTCTGCAGTCTGAAAATAGCACACCCGTTACTCAAGAGGTACATTCTCAACCTGAAATGCGGAGGCTCTTGTCTGAGCCAAATTAATCACAAACTTTCTACGAGCTCTTTGGGTGGATAAAGTGAACATATTTCTCCCCCCTGCCCCCAGCTTAGCAGCACAATTAGCACCTTCCACACAGAGCAACCAGAGCGCAGGCTGAAGTTGCAGGCATCGTTTTTGAGTGCAATGCTGTGGCTATTGCCAACTGATTTTGGCTCAGTGTTAAGGGGAATAGACCATCTCAGGAAGTGGTGAGCTTTGCTTCAGAGAAAGGTCAGACCTCAAGGGAGGTGCACCAGCTGACAGAAAAGCTGGCATTATAACGTTTTAAGCATGCTTTGATTTTGTTTTTAATCATCACCTTGGCTAATTTTTCTGTAAATTGGGTGATAGATAGTACTTAGTAAAAACTACCACCCATCTATTTTCAGAACTCCAGGATCAAAAGTAAGGAGCTTGTTTTGAGTTCCCATTATTCCCTATGGACAAACACTCAAAGCACTGAGGAACAACGTGCCTAATTTTGTCCTAAGTTTGGGTCAAAATTCTGGAGGATGGGAAATTTTTCTGAACTCAAAACTCTTTGAATCAGCCACTCCAAGTTCATAACATTTCGGATCTCTATGCTTTGCATACCATTATGCATAGCGCTTGTATCTTTCCACAGTGTTACTGCACTGCAAAGTTTTGTTCCCATGAAGTCAGGGTGGCAGTTCTCATGAGAACAAAATTATTAGCTTCTCTAAAATTTTCCACCTCTGTTTTCTTTTCTGTTTATGTACAGCTTGGATGTTTGGAAACCAGGAAACTGTTATGGCCCCTTAGGTCTCATCATGACATGGTTTTCTATCCAGATGTGGTTTGTATCATGATGAATCGATAACTGAACATTTTCTACTATGTTCAGCTTCAAAAGGGATGAATAAATCCAAGAAAAATACATTAAAGCTTAATATAATTGCAGTGACCTTCAAGTGAAGCCCAGATGTTTTCATTCCGCATGGATTAAGGAATTAACAGCAGACATTTCTAGTTTCTTGGCGAATGTTTCTTCTTTCCTGTTGCTTAATATCAAGAGTGTGATTACTGCTCCATCCTTTCTCCCCCTTTGGTGAATATTCATCCTCTAAACAAACAAACGAAAAATCTTCCAGATTGAATGAACAGTCCATCTGAGGAGCAACAGATACAGATAATTCTTAAATAATATCCTCCAAGGTTATGTTGTCATTATTTAGCTTCCAAGCTGTTGACCAATCATCAACTGGTTCACAAGTCTTGCTATGCCATAGCTTGCTTAGGGTTGAAGCATAAACCACCGTGGTCAGGGTTCATCCAACACAGTAAACTGTCAACCATGGTTTTAAATTGCCATGGCAGGGCCTCTGCAACAGGCACCACAAAACCAAAGAACTAGGCCGCTCACCTTTTCTGTTTGCATGAGTCTAACCTACAGTTTCCACAATCTGCTAAGCCATTATTTATATATTATTTATACATCATTTATTATTGATTATTTATCAGTGCCCAGAGTCATTGAGAGTTGGGTGGCATTCATGTTTAATAAATTATTATTATTATTCATTTTTATGCTGATGAACTCCAGATGGCCCTGAGTATGTCTCTTTGTGGCTCAGCACAGTTGCTGTTGTTCATAAATCTTAATTGGTGGTTTAGCATGATGTGGGTTAAAAAAAAATGGCTTAATGTGATGTGGGAATCCAGCCTTTCAATGCCTGCCCCAATGTCTGGATTATTACTGAGTGGTGATTTTTTAGCAAACAAGGCCTCCCTCCTGTCTTCCAGGAACACAACCTTCCTTTGCAGACCTGGGTTGCTTACTTGCCCTGGACTGAAACCCGGATTTCAGAGGCGCCAGGACTTTAGCCAGGAGCAAAGTGCCAGCTATATGCTTCAAGGCAATTATGTACATTCTGTCTCCTTAGGAAATATCAGCTTGAACAAACTGGTGAAGTGGAAGCTAACTGCTCTGTGCCCTCTGAAAACAAAAGCTTCAGAACACTCCCCGAGGTTTCCACCAAGTTTGGCAAGCTTCATCCTTTGTCTTTTTTCCAGCCCAACAACAGAAGGTTGGAAAGAATCACGGAAAGGGGTTTGGAACAGTCTGTCCGTCTGTCCATCAGCAAGAGGTCTCTCTGAAAACACAACACCGTGGGACCAAATTTGGCCGGGGGGGTGGGGAGAAGCCAGCCAAAGAAAGAATGAACTCAACGATGGGCTGGATCAGGCTGAGGGCCAGCAGAGGAAGCCCCCCCAGCCCCCATTCATCTCTATGGACGAGGCAGATGGACAGGAGCTCAGAACATTGCTACATGCTGCATTCTAAGCCCAGTCATAGGCCCCAAAGCAGAACATACACAGCCCACCCTGTGCTTCTATGTGCGCGCGCACACACACTCACACACAATCTTAGATTGTTACACAGAAGAAAATACAGAAGCTCTTGTGGCCACTGCTGTTCAAAGGATTGGAAAGAATTCCAGAATGTCGACCGCAAGACCCCCATCTTGCTTCCTCTCCGATATCTGCCCTTTGCACCCTTGCGCCCCAATGACGAGCCTTCATTCCATGATCACCAAACGCTTTTCTGGCTCTGGAAGCTTTTTGGTTCATTCTTAGCACAGTCCAGGAAACAAACATGAAAGGTTTTTATTTGGTTTTGTTTTATTTTCAGTCAGTTATCCTTTCCTATTTCACCTGATGCTGCAAGGGTTCAGAACACACTTTGGTCGTGAAATCATTCAGAAATCTTGATGTAAGGAGTTTCATTCAGATGCCAGTGGGAAAAAGCAGCCATGTCAATTTCATTAGGCATTTATTTTGTGAAGCTTGTAGAAGTCAGATGTTTATATTGTGTGTTGGTGGGGGGGTATGTGTGTGTGGGTAGAGAAAGACTTGGTGTATGTCTTTGTGTATACACACACAAATATACATAAATACACACACACACACACGCTTCATACTATTTCCTCTTCATATTTTAATCTCCAGTAGCGGGGTTAGGTTTAAGTGAAAGACCTGTCCAGGGGTCTCCGCAAAGTGCCAAGGTTAAAATTTCCTAGGAGGACAAGAGGAAGACGGGGGAAGAAGAGGAAGAGATGAAGTTGAAAATGAAGCTGTAGACAAGGAGATGAAGGAGAAGATGAAAATGACATAGAGGAAGAAGAGATGGTGATCAAGGAGAGGAGGAGATGATTTGCTTCTTAAAAAAGGAGAAATGTAGGATCTTCAGCGGTGGGCATTTGGAGGCCCCACAGATCTTGGCACTTGCCCCCATCATACCGGGTGGCATTGGGAGGGATGTCAGTTTCAAAGCTTAGACTTCATAACAGTCAGAATTGATAGACAGATGAGAGATGAGAGAGAGAGAGAGCCAATAACAACTCTTTCATTGATTGAACAGGGCCAGGTATTTTGAAAGCTGAATTAGATTTTAAAACTCCCCTTAGGCATATTGAAACTTGGATGGAATTAAGCCTCAAAGAGATATAAATGAATTAACTGTATCGTTAGAAGCCAGGATTCAAGTGAGGGGTGGGGCAGAGAAATTATAAGAATTGCCAGTTTAATTTCAATTAATAGCTTAATTTTTAAAAAATGATGTAAAGGAAGGAAAAACTGATTCCCACCTGGAGAAGTTCTTTCTCTAATTTGGGAAAGGGGTTGCTTTGCCATGCGTGTGTGTGTGTTTTAATTTATTTATGTCAGATATTAAGTGAGATTTAAATCACAGGAACCACCCATGTTAATTTATATTTAGAGTTTTCTTGATATCTGTTTCTACAGCAGCCTGGCCCTATAAAATGGAAAGCATGAAAATGCAGCTTTAACCTGAAAAGGTTCTGAGATACATGTAGGTGGAAGAAAGCAAATAAAGGAAAAATTAATTGGAGCTGCTCTTTGTTCCCCACTTTACGTTAGGAAATGTCAAGGCTGAACAACAATCTGGTTAGGTTAACCTGATCTGTAACGTTGCACCGTATCCTGTTTCATATCTGGATATAGTATTATTTTACACACCTCATTTCCCATAATACAAAGGCGCCGTTGTCTCACATCTATTGTACTTCCACGAGCATCTGAAATTCAGTCCCTGAAATGGTGAAGGGTAGTTTTATTTCCTTTGACCTCTGGCTTTGGTTAATCATAAACTTCCATAAGTAACCTCTTGAGTAACTCAATACTGCATCTCAGAATCTTTGATCGAGAAACCCGTCCCGATGCTGCCAAATTAAGAAATTTCTAAAAGGCATTACGCGTGCATCCGCCTTACTCCCTTTTGGCTCCAGTATCAGTTCTGACACTTTTATGGGCGAAACAAATTGCAATCTCTTCACTGACCCTGTTTATTTTCAAAATAACCCTGCAGGTGTCTAAACCCAACCTGATTCCCTCATCCTTGTATTCTTTTCAAAGTGATCTCAACACTCTTCTGATTTTTTTTTTTTAATCTCAACTGTTTGGTGAATAAAGAGACAAAGAAATATGACTGCAGCAAAGCATAATTCCTACAGAAGCAACGGATGTGTATTTGAACTGACAGCTGAGGGGCGGCTTCATTATACTAAGCAAATTAAAAAATTAAAAGGTCCCTTGACGTCAGTGTAGGAAGCCAGCATATCAAGGGGGGGGGGGCAGCTTCAGAGCCACCATCTTGACTTTTTTGACCACACACTGTGAATACCCCAGAAGGAAGGAAATATTTAACCCTGCCTGCCTGCCTGCCTGCCTGAATCTCTCTCTCTCCTTCCTTCCTTCCTTCCTTCCTTCCTTCCTTCCTCCTTCCTTCCTTCTGAATCAATCTTTCCTTCCTTCCTTCCTTCCTTCCTTCCTGAATCAATCAATCTCTCTCTCTCTCTCTCTCCCTCCCTCCCTCCCTCCTTCCTTCCTTCCTTCCTTCCTTCCTTCTCGTTAATTTACTACAGTTTATGTGCCAGTCAATCCAACCAGGCTCAAAGCAGCTTAGAAAACAACTTTAAAATAAAAACCATGATAAACAACAGCCAAACCAAACAGCCACATGCTGGAGAACAGCCAGAACTTCTATACAGACGCATATCCTGGATACTAAAATGTTACCTGTCCCAAGCTGTATTTTCTTCCAGTCCAGGCAACGTTCCTCTAATCTTTGGTGAAACTATTTCAGGATTGCCTTATCTCAACTGAGAGATGGACCATGATTTGAATTGTGCAGCCAGTTTTCACGCCTTTCCTACATGGCTGGAAGCAAAGAAAACAGCCTTTTGTTATATTGTCAAATGGAGTTAAAGATGGGCAGGACGGAATGGATGCTCCCTGCAGGCCTGAGTGTGTGACTTCTTGAATTGAACGTTTTGCTCTGGTGCAGTGAAAAGTAAGCATGGAGTAATAGATTGGACTGGGAGTGGGGAAGCCCAGATTCAAGTCCAACCTTAGCCGTGGACATTCACTGGATGACTCTGGGCCAGACACTCAAGGGCTGTTGTTGCTGTGACTAATGCACATAACTTAGAGCAGATTCTCAAACATTTTGGTCTCAGGACCCCTTTACATTCTTAAAAATGGAGGACCCCAAAGAGCTTTGGTTCATGTGGGTTATATCTATCAATATTTACTATATTAGAAATTTAGCCTGAGAAATTTTAGAATACTTATTTGACTTTCAAGGGCCAATGAAAGGGTCTTGGGGACCCCTTAAAACCACTGTCTTAGTGATTTTTTACTCTGGGTCAGTTTGGGGTGAAAGTATTTTCTCCAAATCAGCTGTAGTACACCGCCTTCCTCCATTCAGAGCAGGAAAAAATGCCTAGAGTAGCAATCTCTAACATCAGAGACAGTCAATCTTTTGATGGCCAAGGACATTGAGGACGGAGGGCAAAGTGATGATGCCGACTGGAAGAAGCTCTATGCCCCATGTGGCCTGGTAAAGGGTTTTTATTTATATTTATACACAGAAAGAAAAATAAATAGAGGTCACTGAGGAAAATCAGCACCCAGCTGGCAAATGTCCTTTGAAGAATTTGCAATTCCATTTTGATGTTGTAAATTCTCTGGTAAGTGTCTCTAATTGTATTTATGTTTGTGTCCAATTGCATACCTTTGAATGCCATACAGGGCATGTATTGATTTTTCTAACACATTATATAAATGGATCTTTGATGTTTGAGAAAGTAAATTTCAGGTGTCATGCCTATCCATTGGACCAATGTTTCTTTTTAATATTTGGTTTTGTCCCAGCTTAAGACGCTGTATTATTATTTCTTTAACCACCACAGCCTGCACTTGGTTGGAGCTGAGAATGGCAGGCGCCTTTGGATTTTTAAGGCAGCCCGATGTGAAAAGCGGATCTAACCATATGGATCTTGATCAGATTCCCACATGGCGTGCCGATCCACCTTGAAATGATTAAGCCACTAGTAACTGCCACCCACTTCTCCTAACACCTCCCACCGTGTGCGCACACAATCTGAGAGAGATGTAAATTGGAAATGTTTCCCATTTATGGCACCTGAATAAAATGGATCATTTTCAAAATATGGGGCATGGCTTTATTGGAGGGGTGGGTAACCTGAGGGTTCAAGACTGGAAGTGCCCACGCTTGGAAAAAGAAACCCATTGGATGAAGCCCTCTAGGACAATTCTGATTAAATGTGAACAAAGCACATTCCTCTCCCACCTCTCTGTTGGGTTCCAATCCCCGTTAAGAGGCATTTAGCATGAGTGTCATCATAACAATGATGATGACTGGGATTATAGGAAACACAAAACCAGCTCTTCCAAAAACAAGAACCTTGGGGTCATGTTCAAATGAGATATTCTTCCAGATGGATGGGAGGCAAAGCAAGAGGAGGGGGGGGGGGGGGGGGGGGGGGGCAATTTTTTTTTTTAAAAAAAAAAATTGCCCCCCCCCCCCCCCGGATTATAGGAAACACAAAACCAGCTCTTCCAAAAACAAGAACCTTGGGGTTATGGTCAAATGAGATATTCTTCCAGATGGATGGGAGGCAAAGCAAGAGGAGGGGGGGGGGAGAGACATCTTTCTTTTTAATAAAGAAGAGCTTTCTGAAAAGAAAAAAGTAAGAAAAATACCCAGCACAAATTCACAAGCCCGCAACATTTCCAAAACCTTTGGGAAATATACTGAAAAGCACACCACCTTTTAAATTCATTTCCAGGAACCACTAATTAATCCAACTGCACTTATAAGAAACTTCCTAATAAATACCTCCTTTTTCAGTTAATAAAACGGAAGTGTGTCAGTTATCTCGGAAACTCTCATGAGACTTGAAAGCTACCTTGTTTCCATGGATACAACTGACCTGGATGCTCACCTCTTCTTGGTCCCGGTGGGTTTCACATGTGCCTGGTGCGCTCTAAGGGGGTGTGGATAGAATGAAACTCACTCTGCGCTTTCAGTAGGATTCCATTTCAAAAGTTCAACCTTGTCAGTTAACTACAAGGAACAGCTGTCCAAGGGAACCCCACTCAAAGCGTGTCGTAGTAGTCCAGCTCCATACTGAGAAGCAATAAGTACTATGGCAAGACCATATAATAGCTGTGCAGAATTCTCTTGAAGTTTTCCACCCATTCTTATTCAATTTGAAGATTTGCCTTCTTCAAGGGAGGAAAAAAATCCTCCAAATGATCATGCTTGGAATATGGTGCTCTTATACTTGTTTAGTGATAAGAACAACCAACGGAAACTTCTTTTGTGCAAGAAGAGAAACATCTGAGGAAACTGGAAAGCAGACTGGAAGTTCATATTATTGGCATCATGCAACCAGTTCCTGCACAATCCTAATTTCTCACTCCCTATTAGATCTTGAATTGTTTTTTTCCTATTTCCAATGTTTCAGCTATGAGGATATATAGTTGACATTGTACTACCATTGCACCAGGAGGAGGAATAAGAGGTTTGGGAAGATGCAAGATTTTCAAAAACACAACAATCCCAAACAAGGATTTAGAGGGATGAGATTATTTAGAGGATCTAGAAGGGTCTAGAGTTCCCTTGTCACCAGGAACCTGATGACAAGGGAACCATGAAATTTTGATTGACTGTTGCACAAGTGGAAACAGGAAGACAGGTGGGAGGAGGGAAGAGAATGCAATATCACATAGGCATCCCCTTGTCAACCTTTTGGGCCAGTTGAATCCCCTAATCCAGTGCTTCCCAAACCTGGGTAAATTACCCCAAATTGGCTAAAAGTGGTCTTTCTTTGGGTAACGACACACAAACCCATTACCCATCACAACAGGGACATTTAAATTGACTTCAGTAAAAAGGACTTTCTGACAAGCAATTCTGGGTAATGAAGGAAAAAATTTGGGAAGCACTGCCCTAATCCAAGTGTTCCAACAGGAGCTCTCCGTGGTCCTGATGTTCTATCAGGTCTTCCCATCTGTTTAAGTCTTGTTGAAGCAGCATAAACTCCAGGGGTAGTCAAAGCGGTGCCCACAGGCATCAACAGTTATCCAGAAATCTCCCCTAGTGCCCATCAGGTCACATGACTTTTTTCTAAACGTCTTTTAATTAAAAAGGAGAAAAAGCCGCTGTGTTGAAAAACAAAGCCCAAGGACCTAACGTCACATCTATTCACCAGAGTTGCTTTGAACCCCAATGAGATGCTAGAGAGTATTTGGTGGAAGTAAATTCCCCTTCTAATCAATGTTTTTGTAGCATAGTGGCATAAAAGTTTTGCCCTTCACTTTAAGCCATCACTTGCTTCGCTATGATTTCTTGAACAAATCACAAGGGGCTAAATATGTACACTGCACTAAGCCCTAAACCATGGTTTGCAAATCTAAAGGCTAAGCTGAAGCCAAATAAGGCACATTGGGCTCAGAGAATGTGTAAACTCAGCTCCACTACAAGGCCTGAAGGATGTAAACAGTATTCACATGTTACTCCAATTTCAGGGCGATTGTCACTCAGTTAAGGAAATCTCAAGTCAATCATAAGAATTTTAACTGAATGACTAATCTGCATATGAAAGAAATCCACAAGAATTCTAGAAGGGCATGTTTCCTTTGCTTGCTGACAATGTGCAGATGTACCATCTGAGAGAAACAGAAAACGCCTCTCTTAAAACAGTGCTTACCACCTGTCATTTGATAAAAATAGTTGCACTGAAAATATGTTTTCTTAAAATCAAGGCAGCTTCTCTCGCTGATCCAAGCCTGCTTAATTGATTATCTAGAAATGTAGATAAAGTAGCCTGAATATTTGTTTTCTGTGGGGTGGGAGGCTCTCTTAACATTGCACAGGGAGGGATAGCGCAAAGCCTTTGAAATTCTTCCTGGTGGACCCTGTGATCCTCTGCCTAATCTCAAGTGACAGTCTAATTTTGAAAGCTAGCTCTGCAGGGGATCAGCTCCATGCTGATCTAGCAGCCCATTGGATGGGGGGGGGGAGGAGAAAAGGAGGGGGAAAAGGGAAAGGTCAGACAAAAGGTGAGGAAGGAAGGAAAAACAGAAGGAGAAGTTAAGTCAAGGGGGGGCAGAAAAAGAAAGAAAAAAGGAGAAGAAAAATGAAGATGTGACTACCTTCTAGCAACATACACATCCTAATTAATCCTCCCCTCCTGGAAATGAGGAGCTCCTCAAAGGAGAGGGGGAGCCTAAATTAAACACTCCTGATTCCCAGTTTCTGAAGTTTTCAACTTTACTAGATTAGTCGTGTTTTTCCCTCTGCATCAACACAGGACTACAAACTTGTTTTTTCAAGGGGCAAAAAAGGAGGGAAGAGAAGGGAGAAAGGAAGCAAGAGGCCACATCCACACGACCCCTGTATATCTAAATGTCCTTCTCACTTTCTTGGGGACAGAAGTGCCCATTTGGGAGAGGGGGAGATGAGGCTCCATTGGAGTGCGGAAGGAGGGGGCCCATTTCCAGGAGGAGTGGGTGGAGCCAGAACAAAAGCTCAATTTTTTTCATTGATATTTGTTTCTGTCCCAGTTGTCTCTTTAATACATTTCTGCTTCTGTCCCATTGAAAATGAGAATGCAACCAACACCCTTCAGGGGCCCCCAGGCAGAGAGATGCTGAAGTTGCCCGTACCAATTTCAAAGGTATGTTTTTGGAATGCAGACTTTTAATGGGATTCCTATATCAGTCTAAAGTTGAGCTTGTGGACCTAAAAAAGGAAAGACACGTTATTTTTCCAGTCAGAGGAGTTAGATTTTGCCTCCCCCCCCCCCCGTTTTTGCTCCTGCATATCTTTAACCCCAAATTAGTAATCTAGTAGCATCTTTTCAGACTAACACATTTTATTAAAAGGCATATGCTCATGAAAGTCTTTTAATAAGACATAAGCTCACGGAAGCTGATGCCTTTTAATGAAATATGTTAGTCAGAAAAGGTGCAATCTGATTCCTCCTGGTTTTTGGCTGCCGTAGACTAGCACGTCTCTCCTCCTCCAATATTTTTAGCCCCAATCCAAGAATGATCTCTTGCAGAAAGCATGAGTCAGTGCGGCATTTGGTGGATGATGCCTAGGAGAAGAACAAAATAAGACAACACCAAAAACAAACATCCATTTCACTCCAGCTGATTGTTCTGAATTCAGATGTTTTATTTCTCCAGGGCAGGAAAGCCGGCTAATCAGCTGCCAGGGATGGGATCTTACACACAAATGGAAATTCTCGGCTACAGCTATTGTCATTCCAAGACCGTAAAGCTGTAAAAAGAAAAAAAAAGGGGGGGGGAGAGGAGAAACAGACAGGGCTTCCACAAACATAGGGCTCTGACTCTTCAGTGGTTTGCAGAAGTGATTAATGGGTCACCCATTAATGGATCATCCATCAACCATGGGTGACTGTAATGAATGATGGCTTCCATTTATTGATATCTGTAGGTCTGCAAACATACATTTTGTATGTTTTTGTTTCCTTTTTTCCCCCTTCTTTTATAAGGTGTTTTCTTTTCTTTTTGTATTTAGTTAATATAACATATGAAAAAAGAAAGAAATGGCTTGAAACACTGCTAGTGGAAAGCTAGCTTAAACTTCAATCAGCAGCAGCTTATGTTATGTGAAGACACACTATATCAAATAAGGATGCCATAAAAACTACACTTGCAGACTTCCTAATGAACTAGCTATCTACCTGCAGAGACAGTCCATATTATCCATTTAACTAGTTCCCTATAATAATATTGATAGATTGCCTGCACAGAGAAATCTCCAATGTCAGGGAGACATCTCCCAATCTAAGCTACTTTGTCATTTTTAAGATCTCCAGAGCTTCTTTGCTGCCCACTTCCCACCATTCTCCTTTGGGGGCGTGTCTTTTTAGAGTGTAAATCTGTAGGCAAACAAGTGTACAACTGTAACACAAGCAAGGTTCCAAGTCTTCATCAGCTTGGATGCACAGACGCACTGAACTGAGAAGGAGAAGTGGGTGTGTTGAAAGGACAATTGTGCACTAGGACCCCACCTCCAGCAAGGGCAGTTCAATGCCCAGTTTAGACCTCTGGAAAGTCAGGCTCCTGGACCACCCCATTTCCACAAGCAGCACACGACCAGAGACCCAACCTCGGTGTAAGGGGTGAAGTTGGTGAGGCAGAAATCTCTGGTTCTCATGCCAGAGAAAGCTGTTTGTAAACAACAGACAGATGGTGGAAACGTTCAAGGCCAGCAGAGAAGGAGTCACATGGCTGTTGACTCAAAAAGGTGGGAGGAGGAAAGCCAGGGTTCAAAGTTCAGGTCTTGGGACTAGCATACTTCAGAGCCAGGATTCTTGGGGGTTCTTTGATGGAGAAATTCTTGTATGTGTGGCTTTCTACTTCACTGCAATAAATTTACTTCTCTAACCTTCTCAAGTCCGTTTGGGAAACATGGACAGGGGAAGAGTCTAATTGCCTGGATATCTGATGTGCAGATGCTGACAAGAATGATAGTTGAGGCTGGGGTGGAGTGGAGAATTAGCATGCTTGCCTAACTTTTTCCAAACTGGACATCTTCCAGGTGTGTGAGCTTCCGCTCCCAGAATTCTCAGCAATGGCCACGGTGGCTAGGGAATTGAAGTCCATCCAACTGGAATTTGCTCAGGTTGAGGAATATGGGCATAGAGCTTTCCCCACTTCCCTTTTTGTCTGCCCTCTTTCTAAAGCTTCAAGACCACTGCTCTGGACTGTCCATGCTCCCACACAAAAGGAGAATCCTAGCTTCTTCTGCCCAGATGTTGCTGCTGGCAGAGGGTTTTCGCTTGGGGAAGAAGGCATCTTGGAGAATCAGATGCTACCTACCACTGCTGTATCTGTACCAGATCTGCACACAGTCTTCCTCCTCTGGTTTAGTGTGGATCCCATCATCCGGTTGACTGCCATCCCAGTAGTTGTAGTCATATGGAGATCCATCTGTCCATTCAAAGTTGCTCTCCTGCCAAAGAAATCACTGGAGCTTTAGCCTTGGGGCAGAGATGGGCAACTGGTGGCCCAAGGGTTCTATGCAACTCCAAGGCCTCTAAAGGGGAGCTTCTTGTCGAAAAGCAAGGACATTGTTTCCTGCCACTTAGAGGCAGGAACACAAAATGTGAATGTGAGACCAAAGCCAAAATAAATCGGTTTGAATAAACAGTCCAAAGACTACTTGAAAGTAAGACTGATAAGCCAACCAAATCCAGCACAATCAGACTTGCAAGATTATAGCCAATCTCAATAAAAATACTTTTAGCCTTCCCGTGGAGTTGATTCCTGGTCTGGTCTACCTGATGGGTCTGACAGGTAGCTAAAATAGAAGAGAATATATGTAGCTCAGGGTTGAATTGTGGAGCCCTTGGGGTTCTCTGAGCTTGGTTGTTTTCCTGGAGACGTTTCATTACCCGGCTAGTGCTCCCTTCTAGTACTGAAGATGTTACCTAGCTGGGTAATGAAATGTCTGCAAGAAAACAACCAAGCTCAGAAAACCCCAAGAACTCCACAGGTAGCCAAAATCTGGCAAAATGTGATGGTCTGGTGAGATTTCAGTACCCCAACTTCCTCTACTAATTTTAGGATGAGGACGAGGCCCCAAGCTATGATGGGAGATGGAGATGGTGCTATGATGCCCAGCACCCAAAATGGTTGCCCCTCTGTGGACCTGATGGTAACACCTCAGATGGAGGGAGGGAGGCCTTTTCAGCTGATGTTACCATCCAGCTTGCCACTGAGCCATTGTTTCAAGATTCAACGTGGGAGGAAATTATAGATATTCAAATTAGATTCCCGTTCATGCTGCGATACTTTTGGAGTCTGTGTTTAATCACAATCTTCAGACGTTAATGTAAGAGGAGGTTTCAGACACTCAACCTACTATTATACCCGCTACAGCCTCCTTCAGATGTCTCTTGCTTTCTCCGCCCCGTTACGTCTTCAGACGCTGAACAAATTCAACTTCTGCGGCTTCAACACACTGGCTGTTCTTTTCCCCCCTCACCTCCCTCCAACTTTCCTTTCGTTGATCATGACTAATGAAGAATTTTGCAGAACTCAACAAGTTGGCATCCTATGTTTGTGGTGTTCCCGAACAAGCAATCTTCTCCTTATACCCCAACCCCTTCTTTTGGGGGGGATAACTTGAATATTATTGCAAACAAGAATGAAATAGGTTTCTTACCTGTCTGAGATCATTCAATCCCACCCAGATATCCATGGGTATACCAGGCACCCTGCTGTTTACTAGGTCATAGACAAAGACATTCTCTTCCCAGCTGCCAGATAGACATAGGACATGAAAGTATATTATATTGGATAAATTATATTGATAGCTAACATTAATTGCAAATTAATAAGTAAAAACAACATTATTATTTAACAAGTTCAGTTTTCTAATTCTTAAGGTTCAAAAGGATACTTAAAGATGCTGGTCCATATATGGACATCAAAAGGTGAGTTTACTGAAGATGCTGTCACTCTGTACTTTCTAGCCATAAATGTAATATAATGTAATATAAACGATAATATAAATATGTTTAAAGTATACATGCGTTTTGATTTATTTTTATTTATTTATTTGTCAAATTGATATAGCCGCCCTTCTCATAAACAAGTCACTCTGGGTGGCGTACAACAGGCTAAAAAGCAATTAAATTAATAAATAATAGAACTATTATTATTATTATTATTATTATAAAAAAAGCATTAAGAAGCTATAAAAAACAAAGCTAAAAAAGAAGAAATATAGGTGAAGAGATGTTAATAATAGGGGAACCACCTCAATAATCCTCCACTCTCCTGGGGTCCCCAGGCCTGAAGTCACAACCAGGTTTTGAGGGGCCTTCGGAAGGTCAAAAGCGATGAAGCCAGCCTTACTTTGGGGGGAAGGATATTCCACAAAGGGGTGCCACAGGAGAAAAGGCCCACCGCCTAGGACCGCCAAAGGTAGCTCCTAGCGGATGGGACCCGCAGCATGCCCTCTTTGCTGGATCTGGTGGGACAGGCAGATCTCATCAGGGAAAGGCAGTTCCCTCAGTTAACCCGGTCCCGTGCCATATACGGCTTTAAAGGTCAAAACCAGCACCAAAACCAGCTTCTCTGTGTTATACAAACATATATATATATCTGTTTAAAAAGGCTGACTTTCTCAAGTCAAGTGTGATTCCTGGTGATTACAGGAGCAGAGTCATGAAGTGTCCTGGGCAACAGCATCAAAGTGGTTTGCCTTCTCTTGGGACTTTTATTCCAACTTTTCAGATTAGCCTACCAGCCTGATTTCCTGGTGGCCTTCCATCCAGGCAATGGATGGAAGGCCACCATTAACCGGGTTCAATCCTGCTTAGCCTTTTTTTGAGATCAGCCAAGGTTGGGCATTTACTGCCACTCACCATATACATATCTGTTGCAAATCCTCAAATACTAGTTCCTCATCTAGTTCTAGGAAGAGAACTAAAGAATGCAGTCCATGTTTCACCCATATTCTCTGGTTAAATGATTCCCTTGCTATTTTCAACATTTATGGGCATTCAAAAGTTAATTTAGCACGATTGCCGCATGCCATGCCTCCTTGCTGAGTAATGTGGTAGGATCCAAAAGACTTACACAAATGATTGGATCTTCCCAGAGACACAATCATATTCAATACAATATGTCAATAGTTTGCTATGCAAAAATTGCTTGCTTTGGAGAAAAGAACGCTCCAGGGACATAATTTAAAGATGGGGGGTGGGTAGCAGATTGTACCCTTTTTGCTCCTATGTTGAAAACCCAACTCAAATTCCCAGGACACATCCTGACCTATCCAGTGCTATCATAAATCCTTGTTATGAGGCATTCCCAAATGCTAGGATCTGTATGAAGAAACTCGTCAGCCATAAAACTGGACAGCAGCAAACGCAGATGGTACCCCATTCGCGGATTCTTACCTGTGAATAGATGCTAATTTGGCTGATTTTAAGCCGATAGAAAACTCCGCACAATACAAGTCAGCTTCGGCCCAAGTTTTATTGATGGGAAAATATCGATAACAGTAGCCTTCATATTCAGTCCAGAAGAGAGGGCAAGAATAGGACAAGATGGGTTCTGGCAAAGCTTGGGAGAAAAGATGGAACATTTTTTCAAGGCACATTTTTCAAAGTTTTTTCGTCAGAGAGTTGCTATTTTGGGAGGTAGGCTTGTCCTACCTCTTGTCGGCTTTGCGGAGTAAGCCAGATAGGAATCACAACCACATGAGCTAATTTTACTTTATTGTAAAGCTAGATTGACAGAAACTTGCAAATCTGAAAGGACAATTCTCCCGCCGTCTCCTTTACACCCTGAGAAACTAGAAAGGGTCTCTCCTGAGCCTCTTGCTCCACCCTCTATCTAGCTGTGGGCTATGCTGTCTCTTATCTGACTGTTCCCTTGGCAGCATCTCTTGGCCCAGTCTCCCAAGATCTTTCATACCGTCACATCTCTGCCATGTTTGGGTGGGAATCAAAAGGATTGTTAAGGTGACTTTAGAACAATCATTGGCTACGTCTCCCTTATTCAAGGATTATAGACTTTTCTTATATGGGGGATGGCCAGAAGAATTCTTCCATGCCCTAATGAATCATTTATCATTTATAATAATTTTAATGAATTTATCATGATGGACTGTCGAGATGAGTTGTTTCAAGAGACCAAAAAAAAAAGGACTTTTGAACAATTTGATCAACATTTGGGGGCTTGTTTTATGATGCGATTTTCCAAGCCTTCCCCCACTCTCCACTCTTCTTTTAAAGTTCATAGTGTGTTGCTAGTGACGTAGTTTACATATATAACTTTTTCCTGTGAGCTCGATCGTTTTACCGCTTTATTGTTTTATGGTTGTTTTATAGTTTTACTGTTGTCATGAGCCACCCAGAGTTGTTTAAGATGGGCAGCCATATAAATCCATATATATACAGTGTGTGTGTGTGTGTGTGTGTGTACACACTATATATATAGTAGTTGCTAAATACATTTGCTATCAGTTTGGGGAAGCCAGGAGATTACAAGGGTCAAGAAGCCGTTCTATCTCTTAAACCACAAGTATTGTTGTCTAAAAGGACAAGGGCCAGCTGTTGTGTTTATACATCTGAGCTTGCAGGAGAAGCAGGAGGAAACCAAAGATAAAAATTCTCCAATCCGCAGATTAGATAAAGCTGCCACTTGCAAGATAAATCTGCCTGCATTTTCCAAGCCCAGCTCTTTGGTTTTGTGATGGCCATAGCTCAACGGCTGAAGCCAACTTGGAACACAGAAGTTCCCAGGTTCAGTTCCACAGTTCTCCAGACAAGGGTGGGAAAGCCATCTGCTGCTGATCAGCATTGACAATACTAAATGGGCTGCGAGGATTCAGTCAGGCCACGGTAGCTTCTATTTTTTAAATATCAAACAGCATGTCACTGGATTCAAATCCTAGTCAGAGGTTTCTACACTGTCCTCCACCCCTCGGCATCTCTGCATTCCACTCCAGAAAACAGTCCTCAGATTCCAAGCTGGAATAAAAGGGAAGTTATCTGAACGGTTTGGCCTTCTGATTTTCAAGCCCCAGTTATCCCAGTAGGTAAGGCTAATTCAATTAACTCTGGTGTGCAAAAGGTGCCCCCAGGAATTTCAGGGCTGAATGTGCCAGAAGAGAAGAAGTAAGCAGGCTGATCTCTAATTAGCACTTGTCTGGTTAAATTGTCAATGGTCTTTAGAAAGGAAGCCATCAGGCTTTGAACTCAGAGGGGATGTTAATCAAAAAGGACGTATGTGCCCTTGGACCAATTTGCTGGTGGACCCTGAAAGGGTGGGGGAAGAGAAGAGAAGAGAAATGGGGGAAGTTGGGGTCATGGCTTTGGGGTTGAGTAGGGGATAAGGGGCAGCATTCTAGCTAGGAAATAAAATACCTTCCAGACCTGTTACCTTCATAATTCAAACTAGGAGAGCAAGAAATGTCCCAGAAAAGAAAAATCTAGAAACTTTAGCAAGGAGGAATAATCAAGATTCACTTTCCCTCCCTGAGTCCAATGCTCCATTGAAAAAGAAACTTGGAGAACTCCTTCCCTTTTAGTTTCTTTTCCTGGATCTTCATACAATGTGTGTTCTACAGACAAGGTAAGGAAAATCTGTTCTGTCTGGCTTCTGTAATACTTTCCAACCCCTTCATGAGCAGTCGCCATAGGAAATGCCTGTATTTCCTTCTATGTAACCAAGTCACGTGTGTGTGTGTGTTTCTCTCACTATGTCATGGATCTGTGCATTTGGGTGTATACAGGATGAGTGGCATACACTCCCCTTGGGATCATGTGGCCAGAAAGGATGGGTGCTTAGAATGGAAAAATTGGCATCTTCCATAGGGTACATTGGGGAAATTATCTGGGATCTTTCTTCTCTGCAGACCCCAGCCAGATCCAACTCATTTTCAACCTCCCTCTTTCTTTCCCTGGCTTCTCTATCCACACTAAATGTAGTCACATTCTTTTCTATTTCCAGGGAGTTATCTTGCTGACGGTCAGACGGATGGACAGAATCTGAGCCCCTTTAAGAATAAGACCCAGAACGATTATTTAGGGTTCAAAGTTCTTCAAACAAAGCAATAAAAAAGTGCAAGCTTAATAAACAAAAAGATAATACAAGATACTACGCGAGAAAAAATATGAAAAATAACCACACAGAGAAAGTGTTCACAAAATACATTTACCCAGGTCAGTTAAATACCTGTCCACTGCATTCACCCAACATGCTAAACTTGGTCAGTTTTAACCTTGGTTAAGTTTTTCTACAGCTTATTGTTGTGCAAACCTGTTTGGTTTGTTTATGATTCCATTTATTGTGCAAGCCTAGATAATAATTTAACTCAGCAGGAGACTTGTGTGAATGCAGCCACAATTGGTTTGATCAATAAGTGCATTTTTAGCCTTAAGGAGAGAGACAATATTTCAAAACAACCATACATTCAATATTTCTATTAAAATAGACCTCCGTCTAGACAGGAAATCTATTAGGAATGGCTTTGTGGACCTATAAGTAAAAACTGGGAACCAAGGGGAAATAAAACACTCTTTAACCAATGGAGACTTTTGCTTTGATCAGTTTTTCAGCCAATGCTGAAATTGTCACACTAGATTCACCTCCCCATCAAAGCACTAAGGGTTAGGGTTGCCCTGGTTCGGATTGGCTGAATCAAAAAAGTCAACTCACCTTGGCTTATTTTAATATTGGTGTGCGGGAATGTATGGACTGCAAGGAGGACCGCAGACAGAGCTGCCCAGAAATTCCACCGGAGGATCATTGCTGACTTCTCTCTCCAGAGCTGCAGAAGGCGAGCAGTCCAACCCCTTCCTTCGACTCCCCAGGAATTTTCAAATGCCACTGAAACTCCTGGAGCAGCTGCAAAGAAGTTTTGCAGTCAAACTTTCCCGTCTGCAAGAACAAAATTTCTTAACAAGGTACACCAGCCAAGATCCTCACTCCATAAAACTACTCACAGCTTCCCCTCCTCTCTTTCAGACACACACACAGACACACACACAGACACAATGATCCAGACTCAGGCTGTTCCAAACATACTGGAGCTAAGCTAAAGAACTCACCCAAAGCTATAACAAGACTTGTTTACAAATACATTCTACATATATATTTCTTATTAAAGAATTTTTAACAAGATAAAAGCAATACAAATATAAGAAAAGAAACGAAGAAATTAAAGAATAGTGAATAAGTAAGAAAGGAAATGGAAATGGAAATAGAAGTGGAAAGGGAAAGGGAAAGGGAAATGGAAATGTGAGGAAGGAAGGAAGGAAGGAAGGAAGGAAGGAAG